TTTTTGGGTCAAGGTGTATTGAATTTATAAAAAAATAAAAAATATATATTGCATATATTGTTTACTTACCAGTGAATCTACTTCGGGATCTGCTGTGTAGGTTTTTTTGTGATCTGATCTGTAAGGAGAAGAAAAAAAATTAAATTGTTGTTTTTTTAAATAACTACAGATTGCTTGCTATTTTTAGGTTTTAGGGACCACCCACAACAATTGTTTTACAAGGAAATAACACTAAACTAGGATTTCAAGGATTTACAGAGAAAAAAATAAATACCACAAATAGATGATGACGATGGGTTGAGGTTGCTGGTGATGATCCAGAAACCAAACTACCTGTTCCCAAAAACACCATGACTAATTCCTTTAGTGTAAACAAACCAAAAACAAGACCCTATTTCTTTGAGTGTTTGTGTGTATGTGTTCCCAAGGATTAATTGTGGCGATATGCTAAGGCCATAATAACAAAAAAATTCAGGCGAAATCCCTGTGTCTAGAGATAAGCATGCGACTCAATGTCTCCTGGTTGTTTTTTTTTGAAACAGAATGGCATTTTAACATATTTCCCCTGAAATGAGTGAGTGACTGACAGACAGCCGCACTGACTCAGTGACAGAGTGATGATGTCGTCTCCTCAATGCCTAATACACTTGCTGTCATAAAACCAACAATAAACCCCCCGTATATGTGTAGAAATATAACAAAACAAATGATGTTCCCGGCTGTGACTATGTCGAGCAGTTTGTGACATGCAAAAAGATAGACCCACCGAAAAGTGATGACGACGACGGCGACGGCGACAATAGTAAAGCCACACACTTAGATAAAAATCACCAAGGCAATAAATAGATAAAATGCCACCTAGTAGTAGTTGTAGTAGTATAGTGAACTACAAAAACAACACGGGGAAAAAAGAACACCCAAAACGCCGCAGAGCCCAAACAAAGCCACCACAAGAATCACAGACAACAAAGTAGTATTTTGTAGTGTTTTTCGCCAAAATAACAATAACAATAATAACAACAAGACCACAATGCCAGCTACAACACCATCACCAGACCAGCAGCACCAGTGAAAGAATCCACAACTGCAAAAACATATGTGTGAGACTAATGATGGCCATAAATCATTAAGGTGTATTCCACTAATATTATTGTTTATATCTGTTGGGCAAAACACAACAAAACCCCCAAGCAAGGCACTGTGCAATGGCAAAGCTCCACAACAACAACAAAAACAAAAAAATACAAAAGTAAAAACCGCCAATATTATAAACTATAGCATATAGACAAAACCAAAAGTTATACACGTTTATTGTGATTATTGTTATTATTTATTTTTTTCTCTGTTCTCCCTCCCTTCCTCTCTCTCCCTCTCTCTTGCTCTCTGAATAACATTGTAAGCAGCAATAGATTTTTGTCCAATGAACTGAATACGATTTTGAAAAAATTGAAAACAAATATTAAAGAAGATGAGGCAACAATATCAATCATTGCCTGCTTCATTCTCCCTGAAAGCAAGAAAACTGAAACACTTATGTGGCCAGACGACCGCTGGAAAAGAGAGTCTTTGTTTTGGTTCGTTTCTTGTTTTACCAAATTGCAGTCCAAAAGGAGAACGAATGGGGCAAACCATTAGCCATTGTGAGTAAACCATATTTGATTATAGGTTAGGAGTTTAAAACCGAAAAAAAAAAACAACAACACAAAATAACCCCTTTAACCATAACAATTATAATAATATGGTAACGAACTACATAAATGCAAATTCAAGGGGGCCAACGACGTATATATATTGCCTTCTCTTTCTAACATTACTTGGAGTATAAGAAACAGAGAGAAAAACAAAACGTTATTGGAATTAAATTAGATATTGGAAAAGAAAATGGATTCCCCATAGGGGCCCACAGACAGGAAAAAGGGAAATGGATTTGGAAGTAAGAAAAAAATGACGTATGGAGGGCAGGAAATATTTGAAAATAAGTGCAAATTCCAAAGGAAAGAAAATAATAATATGAGATATTTTTATATTTTTTTTTTTTAATTCGTGAAGGATATAAAAAATATTTTATCTAATTTTATCTTTTTTATGGTTTTTTTAAGAAATAATGGACCTAAGGTTGAAAGTGTAATATTCTGAAAATTTCATTTTGTTTTTAATTGTTTGCCAAAACAAAAATGGAAATTTCTTCCTACTTTATATAGTTTTTTTTTTTTTTTTTTTTTTTTGAAAATTCCCATTTTTGAATTTTATATTTTTTTTCTCTGAATTCCATTCAAACAACATTGAATGAAACTTTAATTAATTCTTTTAATCATTAATTTTTTTCCAGAATTCTTTTTTATTTTTATATTTATTTTTTTTGTTTCTGCCAAATCAGTTTCATGTTTCCCCCATATATACAACGGCAACAACACCACGATTAACTTAAGTATTTCATTTCTCGTTGTTGTTGTTGTCGTTGTTGGTATTTTCTTTTGCTCCTCTTGAGGTTTTAAAAATACATAAATCATTTTAACAAGTAAATTCACAGCATGAGACGTTTGTGCCACAAAAATCTTGTCGGCAATGTTATTGCTCTGCTCTATAAATAAATTACACATGGAATGGAAGAGCATAGCGAGCGAGAGAGAGAGAGAGAGCGAGCGAAAAAAAAATCACTTGAAATTGTTGGATGATTAGAAATTTGTTTGGTTTGAAAATGGAGAAAAAAAAAAAGAAAATCCCGAAACGTTAAAAAAATAAAGAAAATAGGGATATTATGAGAAATAAGGGAATGGGCAACATGTTGCAGAGGAAAATGTTGCTGAATATTTTTAATAACAATTTTTGAATGTTAATATATTTAAATACTTCCATTAAATTAAAGAAACGTAGAAGATATACCACAATAAGTTGCAAAATACTCAAACTGGAAACATGTTGCCCGGAGGGGAAAATGTTGCTAAACATTTAACGTTACAAATTTATTAAAATTTAATGAATTAAATTTGAACTTTATTTATAAAATTAAATAAACGGAATGGAAATATCGTAAAGAAACTGGAAAATACTTAATATGGCAAGATGTTGTTGTAAAATATTAAAATAAAGGCAACATGTTACCAAAGAAATTGCAAAATATTTGATTTGGCAACATATTGCTTTGGAAGAAAATGTTGCTAAACATTTTGCGTTGCATTTGTTTATTTATTTATTTTTTTTTTGGCTTTAAATAATTAGAAATGCTTTGAAATATAAAGGCAACATGTTACCAAATAAATTGCAAAATAGTTGAACTGGCAACATGTTGCTATAGAAGAATATTACTAAACATTTGTTTATTTAAAAAATATTTTTGATTTTTCATTAGAAAGCTTTGAAAAATTAAGGCAACACATTATCATACTAAAATTTTTCTTGTTTGTAAAAGAAAAATTTGTATTTGTTTTTAAAATATTAAGAAAGCATTGAAACATAGAGACAACATGTTGTCAAAGTGAAAATGTTGCTATACATTTTTTTATTATTTTAAAATATACCTTTAGAATATTGAGTTGAAATAAAGCTCAGAAATTGTTTTAATTTAAAAAAATATATATATTTATTTATATTCTCAGAAATATTTAGAAACATATTTTCCAGCAACATGTTGCCAAATTGAAATGGCGTTTTTTCTCTCTCCTTAATTTCTTGTTTTTTTTTTTTTGGAAAACTATAATCTCTTATCTTATCTTCTGCTTAACATTGTTGATTTGTCTATTTTGTTATTTATTATTAGCGTTGCCCTACTACCGGATGTTTAAGGTACACGAGTAGTTTTCGTTTTTTTTTTTTATCGAAAAATCCCTTTATAAATATTTAAGAAAGTATTTCATTAATTTCAGTTGAATTTTGGGTTTTTTCATGATTATCAATGCTGGCTGGTGACAGTGAAAGTAGTCATATATTCTGTGGCAAGAGATCTTCTACAAATAACTATAACTACCCGAAATCTCTGTTGTAATAAATATTGACACTTTGCAGCAACAATTCATGGGAGGTTACCCAGTTTGAGTTTTTGTTTGTTTGGTTACTCAAAAATTATCATTTTTGTTTTTGTTTTTTTGAAAAAATATGAACACACAATTTTTTATGGTAGCTAATGTTTAACTAATACCCGTGTTTGGTTATTTTGTTGTCTACTGTCTAGTGTCGCTGTCGTCTGTAAAAATAAAAATTTGTAGTGAAGGTGGTAGATAGGTAGCAGCAATTGCTTCAAGTGTTGTAAAGATAATGAAGCAAAGCAAATAAAATGCCACTCACAATAACGTATAACACATGTTTTGGCCCGACTCGACATACAACTACACAACCAACAACAACAATCCATAACGCAATGCTTTAAATAAATATTACAACAAGAAATTATTACAATTATTAGGTTTTGGAATTGTGGCGTTTTTGTTGTGTCTGGAGCAACATTGCAGCTCCAAATGTTGGCTAGCACCAACCAACAACACCATCATGATGATGATCATTATCATCGCCAGTACACGTACCCTTTGCCAGCTAGATATTTTAAGGCGCACCACTTGTTATCTTTATGATTTTGATATTAGTTTTGTTGTTATTGTTAACATAGGCCTAAACGGCTGAGGTTTGTTTGTGAGGGGAGGGAGATGACGAACGCTATGCTGCTCTAGGTGACCATAAACCACCAGGGCCATAAACATGTAATCATCATCATGATGATGATGATACCCTGCAGTTTGAAACTTTACACTTAACAAAAAAATGTGTTATTTCACTTTTTTGAATATTTTTTTGGGGGTTTTGGAAGATAACATTCTTGGGATGGTGCGTGAGTGTGTGTGTGTTTTGCTCTAGTTAACCAAACAATGAAGGTAATCTCTTTTAGATTTCTTAGATTTGTTTTTTATTTTCGTTTTGTGTAATCAAATATCTTTTACTGTACACAGAGAAAGATAAACAGCAAAGATAATAGCCGGCTATTGGGAAAGAATATGGAATATAGAGCTGCAGAGGCGCCAGTTAGGCGACAAAATCTTTAGCTACTTCTCCAAAGGGGTGTTCTTGTTTTGTGGAACGACAAAAAAACATAAAAGAATTCTAGTAGCAGTTCGCATTCTTTGATTTTGA